TATGATGATGATATTGGATAAGAGAGTTCCTTCTATCATACAAAAATTCTTTAGCTTCGAACAAAGAAGAGATACAAGCAAATCAATTCGAAAAACCAAAAAAGCAAATTAAAAAATAATATGAAGGCAAAAGTATGATGATGTTGCCAATAATGATGATTAGAGAACTTACGATGGATTTCAAAGAAACAGGTCGATGGTTACATAGTGCAACCGCACGAGCAACTGCTAGATTTGAGTAGACGTTTATTTTGACCTTGAAGAAAATAGAGCTTTTATCTATGTGTGCTAATCGCCTAACTGCATTTTAGAAGAATTACCTTCTTGGATAATCCTTTCCGTCTTGAGTTAGTGCAGTTTGAAATTTTGTGGTTGGACCTTAATTTGTCCTGCTGATAGTGGTGATGTGCAACCGCACTGAGATACACTGAGTCTGAAAAAAAAATTGAGGGGGAGAGAGATGATGATCAAAAGGCAAAGGTATGTAATGAAACAGAACATAGTGCATATCAACATTTCTCTTTAACATATGCAAAATACTTCATTATGAATTAAGCATTCAAAAAATACGCACACAAAGACATAGTTGCCGGCAACTGTTGTCAAATTGGCGGTCGTTGTAAAACCTCACAGTGCATTCCGTGTGTTGCGCTTGCTTCATGCTTTCAATTACACAGAAGAGTTGAAAATACAAAAATGAGCTGCAAAAATATGCAAATAGTGAGAAAAGGTTTCAAAGGTAAAACTTCGAATATTTCAAGTTTTTCTTTGCAGTAGAATTAACAAAATGCCCTCACATCGGGTTGCGTGCAAAAATTACTCAGTATAGAATGTATTTCAACTCTACTCATTTCACTGAGTCTGAAGCGCTTGGTGAGAAGAACAGCGCATCGCCGTACGTATGCATTAGCGGCTGGCAATTACTTTCGTCCTTAATGCACCACATGCAACCGTTGCCGCCACGCCAAAAAATTAGGTAAAATAACCACAGAGATTACATCAGTTATAAGCACTCGGTGTCATGGGCTACAAAATATCATGATTAGTAATTATAGAAGAGACAAGAGGAGAGGATACGAGATAGAGCAAGTAAGCAACCTGATCAAAAGTGGCAATAAAAGCACTGAGCCTCAACAGGAATATGGTTTCAAATACAATGACAGATAAGAAAGCTACGGAGCATCCGAGTTGATTATTCACTTGATAAAACTATCAACTGTCATCCAAATCTGATTATTGATGAGCATACGGAAAAAAAAAGAGCAAAAAATGAAAAATTTGTACGAACACGCAAGAGCTTTAATACGAATACGTTCAAAAAGTCGTGCTGAAGAGTTCTCATCATATTCTTCGTCGTTTATTCCTCCTCCACCTCCAAACAACATTCACGAAGCATTACTGAACTCTTCCACCGAAGTAAACAGAAATGATCTGAAACAGGTAATTCGAATCAGTACAGGTACAAAATTCTGCAGCTTTGGAAGAAAAACCCAATTCAAAAAACCAAATGTCTAATTCATCTTTTAATATCGTTTTACTGTAAAAGTGAAAAGCGAAATGAGATCAAAACAACAACTAACCAACCCTTATTCATCCATTCGTTCGAATCCACCAACAGGAGCAAAAAACCTCTGCACACGATGCAACTCAGCATCAACAGGCCACTCTGCACTCAAGGCCCCATGATATTCTCGCAAATGCCCGTAAACCTCACTCTGTTGATCACTCTGAAATTAAAATCTCATGAACTTGTACGCCAAGGGCAAACTCAAACACTTACCGTGTAATTACACAGCCAGCAAAAATGTATCTTGCATACACTGCATTGCATGTGAAAACACCCTTCCATCTTCTCTATTATAGCACCGCACCTTTCTCTCGGACATGGTCTGGTTTTCCCTGTATTTTTGCTAAGATAAGCTTTCAGTGAAGCATCGGGATCATCTGGAAATAGAAAATAGAGAAAAATAAAGTTGACAGAAAACAATTATTTATTTATTCTCCAGCAAACATTACCTCTTAATGTACGGTATTCTTCGCAACTTAAATTCGCATGAGGTTCCAAGAAACAGCCAGCACATCTTTCTTTTTTACATGATTTGCATTGAAACACGCCAGATTTTCCAGAGATGACCTAAGAGTGAATTCGACCATATGATCACCTTTTCGTATTCAAGATTCCACTTACATTCCAAACACCAAAACATTCAGCAGTTGGGCATCGAGACAAACTCGGATTTTCCCGAATGAGACAATCCAGGCTACTGTCAATCAAAGCTCGTAATTTTTGAGCGTTTAACCATGGAAGCCGCTCCTCCCCGAGGATAAGTTTCTTGATATGAAATATTGGAATAAGAGAGGAAACCACTGAACATAACAATAAAAAACACAAAACCTTCAGATCTTTCACTGCTAAGGGCTTCTCACAGTCATGATAGGCGCAACGAATAGGCAAATCTCTATTACGGATCATAGTTTTCACATAAAAGATCGTAATTAAAGCCATCAACGACAGTCTAAAAACTGCAAGAACTTACTTGAAAAATGATACAACTCAAACAATAATAGTGGCCACACTCGAGTGAGTAAAAACTGTTACAAACGGGTGACAGACAAACCGGACAGCTGGGTTTGGAAGATGTGTTTGTTACCGAACTCGACGTCACAAGCTGTAACACTCATCACTATTATTACTGCGAAAACAATTAAAAGCTGCCGCAGGCTAGATAGAATTACTTACCCGTTCATCAACTTCTTCCAGGTAATTTGTCAAAAATTGATACTGTTCTAGACTTCCACGAAATTCAATCCCCTCATTTTCAACAAATTGCAGTTCAGCTCCACCGCAAATCTCTCTATAGACATTAACTATCAATCTATCCCATAACCAAAAGCAATTTCTACCTACCGCAGCCTCTCTATGCCGACTCCCCAAAATAATATATCACGCATGTAGAACAAATATCGCGGGGGTCCAACTGTGATCACTTCATGTATCTTGAACGCTTGGCTACAAAGCAGAGAATCACTTGGCAATGTACAGCTGTTAACGGAAGAGAACAGTAAAACAGGGAAGTTACCCGTTCTCGGCGAAAAACTTCAATTTTTTTTTTGCCAGATAAGCCGACTCTCCGACGACAGTGATACGTTCACGTAACAAATCAACGTCGATAACAACCTTTCCTCGCAGTTTCGTACGAACAAAATCCACGTACTTCGCTCCGTGTCTGCAACAGTAAACCAAGTGAAGTAAGTAAGAATATGGTTGCGTTGTTACGAACTTACCCATACAAAAGGCGTCCATAGATTTTATCAGAGCAATCAATGTAGATTCCTTCGAACAATGATAGCAAACGGGTGGCCACCTCTCGAACAAACCTAAATTGAAAAATTTTAGATCTCCTACGAGAAAATATCTCCTTACCATAGCAGAACAGTTATAATTCTGCTACAGGCTTACCGTACAGGCCATCCCCGCACAAGTAGTTCTCCTACACTGTCATCACTGTCATCAGAGCTGCTGTCACCCTCACTCCACGTTAAATCAATGATTTCTACAAAATACATTCCATCGTTTCCGGCCTGAGCTGCAGCCATTTCTTTCTCGTTGAGTTGCCTAAATCAAAACTTATTTAGAAAGTAATCACAATCATAATTTTCGACCTCACCTTATCCCCGTATCACAAGCAACTCGTACTTCCCTTGTGACTGGAACCGTTATGCAGTACAGAGGCTTGATGAAAACCTAGCAGATGATTTTTTCAGATATTGCATGTGAGCACTTCCTAACCTCAGAGCAGAAACTCAACAGACCTTCTGACACACATTGCTCCGTTCATCATGAATTTTTGCGAAATCAGCCGTGCTCGCTGTAAGGAAATCCACCAGATCTAGTCCTTGTTCCGCATCATCAAAAATCAGTTCGGCCTCACAAGGACCGGCAATACTATCATTTTCTTCTACGTCCAGCATACACCAACGCCATGGTAGCTCATTTGAGGAAAGCAACTAAAAGTACAAAATGCCTAACAGTTTTATTAGCAAAATTTGCGATACTTACCGCCCTCCATTCGATCCGCGACCAAGGAATAGGCGCATCCCATTGACGATGACGGATCAGATACTCAATGATGGCGCGACTAATCTGTTCTTGTACCCTCACACTTAGACTAGAAATAAAAAAAAACGATGGAAATCCGTAGAAGCAAGTAAAAACAAATTTTCCTACTCATTTCTATGTCTCGAGATTCGTTGAAGATAGGCACTAACAATGTGGATATTATTAGGTTCAAGAATTTCGCGGATATGATCTTCAAATTGCCAATCATATTGATAGCTGTTAGGAATGTTCTGAATCGCCTTCTGAAAGTTCTCGATCAAGAAAAGTACACCTAAAACATGCGAAACTAATATTCACACTTCCCGTGTCATCGCGAAACCAGCTACGCCTCTCCGCTTCTGAATATCCATGGTAGATGAACACATCCGATGCCAATTGAGCGTCATAGGCGCTAATGAACTAAAAGTGACACATCGATCAATATAGCAAACGATCAAATCAAACGATCACCCATATACCTTCACAACTCCAACACAACTAGAAGGGCGTTTGTACCACTTCACACGGAAAGTCATGGTAACATTATTTATCTTGTTCCAACGATCGCATCCAGCAATGAAAGTTCGAGGAAGGTACTATAAATCATACATAGTAAACATGGAACAAGATGCATTTGCTGATACCTCAGCCACTTTCCGACCATGACTTGAATGTGTTTCCAGTACTCGTTCACAATCCTCCACCGTGGCAAACTGGATAAGCGCCGGATTTTCGAACTTCTCCATCCGATTTGTAAGGAGATAATTTGCTAAAACACGACGTTCGCTTTTCTTCAAGCGGCATGCCTAAACACGAACAAATTCCTGCGATCTGCTATGCTTGTTAGAACAGCACGACTTACTCGTAAGGCACTTTTGCAAAAAAAACGACAATACTGCTCTAGATCTTCATCGATTGGTACCTCGACTATGAGAGACATGGATTTCCCATTTCGTAGTAATTCGCATGTTCCTCCGTCGGTGACAGCAATCTGATATATATAATTTGAAACTTTTTGAGTTCTAGAAAACAGAGACAATCGCGCAAAACTAGCTAAAGAAATAACAAAACCTACAGCATTTGACGATCCCGGTAGAGCAATTTCAAGTTTCTCCCTTTTCAATGCACTTCGCTTTTCGCCAGTTTTCTTCAGCAATGCCTCACGCAGCCTTGAAGACTCAGCATCATAATTTGTATCGGGATAGTAAACCTACAAAAGCATGTTACCTCAAGAAGTAAATGAAATCTTGAGAAACAATCACGACTTGACAAGAATGTGTCATTTTTCTAAGAGAGCTTATTAATCCAACTATTCTCCAATACAGAGAATCATAGACTGCTCCCTGATCGAAAAATATCTTAGGCAGACACACTTCTACCTCCATCGTGAACGCAGCAACCCACGTTTTTTTATAATGACGTTTAAATTCTAAATAAACTCACACTTATACTACACTGACGTAAAATATCACTGTCCGCATATGAAATATCGACTCGAGCAAAAGGATCAAGATCATCTACCTAAAATGGTATGCATAAAATCTCCTTCCTTTTCTACGGAATGAAAACACGCACCGTATACGACTTATTCACATTCTTCCTACAGTTCTTACTTATATGATCGACCAGCCGATGCCTCGCATTCGGACCTATTGCGATATCAGTCCGCAAACGTTGTTCACGGAACTGCAAGAACGCTCTTCATTTTGCAAATTTCTTTAGGTATAAGGAGTTTCAACCATTCATTACTTCCAAATTCTCACCATCACTTCCTTTACGACACCTTTATGCGGTAAAAATTTTTCCCATTTCACATCTTTCGCGACCTGCATGTTCGGTTTACTATGAAACAACCCCTCCGACGACGATTTTCGCTTCGGCATTTCCTCGGGGTACCACATACGGTATGGCCGATCCGCATCAATCTATGATTTTTTGGCTATGGAATGCAAATATTACGAGAGAGTACAAGCAAAAATAAACAAGGTGTACAAATCCGTACCTCCACAGGTTTTGTGTCGTCCAGATTAAGACTTTGTAGACTTCCCTGCCTGCTAATTACTGAGCAAACTCGTTCTGCAGCTAATCTTGACATTTCCGTCTCCACTCTCACAATGGGACGAGACACACGCGACTCACTCTAAAAATCACCAGTACAGAGAAATAAGGAGGTAATCTTATGATCACATCATCCTCAGCAGTATCCCACGGTAAGTAACCTTCATCAAGGATTGACCAATTCCACTTCTTCTGCAAGGAGATTTAAATATTTTCTACAGACCAAGATAACTCATGCTTACCATTACAACCCCGTAAGGTTTCCACACAAACCAGTAACGGCAAGTTTGCTCGACCACGTCGCGCTACCTGACGCCAGTACCTCGTAAAATCCGAAAGCAGAAGATTACGAAGTATGCACCCATATTTTTTCTTTTCCCTTTTACAACCTATTTTCCCCTTTCTTTACTTTCGAGTTTTTGCATAACTTGATTTCTCTTTGTAGAAATATGTGATAAAGATCGCCCAAGATGAAACAAAATTGATATTAGAAGAGGAGAAGATTCAAAGGGGAAGAAAACTCAAGTACAAAAGCGTCGTAACATATGTGAGTTTTGCGCATAGTCTCCTCTCTTATCCTATTAAAGGCACCGTCCACCCAGATTCTCGACTTCCAAGTTTTTGTCGTTTCAGGGCCTTCTCATGTCCCTGATTCCAAGTATGAAGTCGAGAATCCGCAAAAATCCCAAAAATCCCCATTGTGGAGAACCCACAGGCCGACATTCTAGAACGGTGATTGGATGAGCGCGCACAAATGGGCGGGCATGGATGGGGAGGGGCGGGCATGGATGGAGGTCCTCTGCATCTTCGCTATTCCGAAGCGATTTTCTCGCTTCTGAAGCGGTATTTTGCGCCGCTACTTGGGCATTGGCTTGATAGGAGGCCCTACTGTTATATGCTGTGAAATGCTCAACACCCTCAACTTAGGGTGGACGGTGCCTTTAAGTCAAGCTTTTTTGTTCAGGAAGAGAAGAGCTTAGAAGAGACATAAGGGTTGGTTATTGATCCTCGCTACAGTGCTGAAGATGAGATTAGTAAGAAAGAAGTCAGTAAAGAAGAACCTGAAGAAAGTATGGATGCAGGTACGCCTAATCCATTTTCTGGTTTTTCTGGTTTACCCTTGCTAATGATAGACTGTACGTCTCGTTTTGTTTTTCACGTGTGTTGCGAACATGTCTTATTTGTTTATGCTAATCTGAGGCTTCAATTCCATTTTTTTATAAAGCCTATCTAGGTGAAAAAGTAGTTATTTCGCATCTGAAGTACAAAACGCGGAAGCAGAAGCAGAATGCTTTGAAAGAGAAGAAACTTGTTCGACAACAGAAGCGAAGGAAAGAAATCGAGAAGAAACAACACGACGTTTTCAAGTAAGGGCATAATCAGTTTTTTTTTTCACAGTTCATAGGATAAAACCGAATACGCTGATCTACGGCCAAAGTGAAGAGTATCAATAAGGCGCTTGCAAAGAGTGAACAAGAGATAGCAGAGAATACAGTCAAACAAAAAAGGAGAAATTCAAAACAAAAACCATTTAGGAGAAACTACCAAATAATCTGCGCAAGCTGAAGCCACAAACTCATGTACTAAATGATAGAGCATTCCTTGCCTTGCGCTTATTTCATCACAAATATTTGTGTAATTCATGGTCCCACTATTTCCAAAATTTTATCACCTTAATTGTCCCAGAACGGTGTCGTTAAAATCAACCAAGTCAAAACCTAAAGCTATCGTAATTCTAGTCATGAAAGAAAGTATTGTTTTGTTTTTTACGCATACTCTGTAGTCTTATCTCTTTATGCATGACGTTGATATTATACATTATAAGAGAGTCCCTTCTATCACACAAAAATTCTTTAGCTTCGAACAAAGAAGAGGTACAAGCAAATCAATTCGAAAAACCAAAAAGCAAATTAAAATATAATATGAAGACAAAAGTATGATGATGTTACTTATAATGATGATGAGAGAACTTACGATGGATTTCAAAGAACCAGGTCGATGGTTACAAAGTGCAACCGCACGAGCAACTGCTAGATTTGAGTAGATGTTTATTTTGACCTTGAAGAAAATAGAGCTTTTATCATGTGTGCTAATCGCCTAACTGCATATAAGAAGAATTACCTTCTTGGATAATCCTTTCTGTCCTGAGTTAGTGCAGTATGAAATTTTGTAGTTGAACCTCAATTTATAATGCTGATAGTGGTGATGGTGATGTGCAACCGCACTGAAATACACCGAGTCTGGAAAAAAATTGAGGGGGAGGGAGAGATGGTGATCAAAAGACAAAGGTATGGTAATGAAACAGAACATAGTGCATATCAAAATTTCTCTTTAACATATGCAAAGTACTTCATTATTAAGCATTCAAAAAATACGCACACAAAGACATAGTTGCCGGCAACTGTTGTCAAATTGCCGGTCGTTGTAAAACCTCACTGTGCATTCCGTGTGTTGCGCTCTCTAACCCCCCAGCAACATCGGCAACCGGAGTGGCAAGCAACAGACACGATACCCGGAGGGTGTCAATAACCTGCGCGTTTCTTTCCCTGACTGCTGACCATCAGTAGGCGAAAATTTACAGGATTTCCTCGTTTCATCCTTTTAATTACACAGAAGAGTTGAAAATACAAAAATGAGCTGCAAAAATATGCAAATAGTGAGATAAGGTTTCAAAGGTAAAACTTCGAATATTCCAAGTTTTTCTTCGCAGTAGAATTACCAAATTGCCCTCACATCGGGTTGCGTGCAAAAATTACTCAGTATAGAATGTATTTTAACTCTACTCATTTCACTGAGTCTGGATTTCGCGCTTGGTGAGAAAAACAGCGCATCGCCGTACGTATGCATTAGCGGCTGGCAATTGCTTTCGTCCTTAATGCACCACAGGCAACCGTTGCCGGCACACAAAAAAAAATGAGGTAAAATAACAACAGAGATTATATCAGTTATAAGCACTCGGTGTCATGAGCTACAAAATATCATGATTAGTAATTAAAGAAGAGAAAAGAGGAGAGGATATGAGATAGAGCAAGTAAGCAACCTGATCAAAAGTGGCAATGAATACAAGTGAACAAAGACATTTGAAAACAAAATATTGAACTGAGGCATATGTCAAAATGCTACAACACGTTGAAAGACAAAAGCAAGAGATTCCCCAAAACAGCAAAATTGCTTAAAGGCAGTGTCTCACCAAAATTTAGTGCCGAGATTTTTGCATTCTGCAAGCCTGTCGGACCCTGTCTAGCACTGTATGGGTTTAAAATCGCGCGGAATTCCCCAAAACCCCGTTTTCTGGAGGCCCCGTGGAAGCAAGGTGGACGAGTTGTACCTCTCAGTTTCAGCCTCAGCCACAGTGGCAGCAACAGAGGGGAGGTGGATGCCAAGTGGAGGAACATGTTCAAACGGTAAGGGGGGGGGGAGACCGAAGGAGTCGTCCGCGCGTACCAACTCGCTCTCCGCGTACCACTTTGAGCGAATTTTTCTCAGCATGGAGGGGGTCAAATTAAGAGGGTTAGCAAGGTCTACTTGATGATGAAGCCAACTTGCGTTTAATCTTGTGTGGTGGCGATTCAAACAGCGAGTAGTTTTCTTTTGCCTAAACTTTCCAACCCCTCCCCCCATTTTCATTGTCTGGAAACCTTTCCAACCTGCCCACTTTTTTCACCCATAATGGACGAAACTGTAGATTCTACAGTCGCCGCTGCAGTAACTACAACTTTTGCTGAGTTGTTCTGTTCTAGAGTATCTTTTACAGCTGAGCATGAAAATGGTGAGAAACTCGACCTGCTAGCAGAAAAATTCGCACAGCTTCAAAAGCTGAAAAAGGGGACTGTCTTTCGGTGAAAATGGGGTTAATCAATGTTACCGCTCAGAATTGAGTATGAAAGGGCATCGTGATCAACAACTCGGGAAGTAGGCCCAAGCAAAAAATGAGTCATCAATTTGGGTGCAATGGGTGCATCCGAGACAGAAGGAATTGTTGACATCGTCACGGCAGCGTGACGTCAGATGGGCCCCCCTGCGCTTTATATATAGAGAGCAGCGTGACGTCAGATGGGCCCCCCTGCGCTTTATATAGAGAGATGATATAGAGAGATGATATAGAGATGATGATGATCGTCACAGCAGCGCGACGTCAGATGAGCCCCCCTGCGCTTTATATATAGAGATGACAGTGGAGAAAAGAGGAGAGGATATGAGATAGAGCAAGTAAGCAACCTGATCAAAAGTGGCAATGAATGCAAGTGAACAAAGACATTTGAAAAGAAAATATTGCACTGAGGCATATGTCAAACTGCTACACACGTTGGAAAAAAACAAAAGCAAGAGATTTCCAAAAACAGCAAAATTGTTAAGGACGTTTAAATGTAGTGCGGCAGCCATACATATGACAGAGTTAGTATTCAGATAAGCGCATGATTAGGCATAACCAGTTTAACACGACTTGTGGTTGCTGTAAACAGAGAGGATTGCAGATACAGTTATTCGAATCAATGAGTCAAGAAACTTACGTGGAGTTCGGGTCCTTTATTCAGCGGAGTGCATGGAACAAATTCGAAGATTTCAGGGGGGAGTTCAAATAAGTGACCGAACAGAGCTATTCCTAGAAAACAAATATGAGATTTTGAGACAGGAGCGAGAAAGAATTTTCTCACAAATCCACAATCATACCTTGCGTTGAGTATCGTCCAGAGTAAACTCCAATTTAGCAAATATTCCAGTAGCTGTAAGCACGGAGCATCAACAGGAATATGGTTTTAAATACAATGGCAGATGAAAGCTACAAAGCATCCGAGTCGATTATTCACTTGGCAAAACTTGCAGTGGATCAGCAGAATGGACTCTTCTCGAATTTTGGGGTGTTTCGGT